TCTGCACATCAATTCTATGCTGGTTTCCTGAAGGAAAGCAAGATTCAAAAGCTGCAGTCTTCAGATTACACCGACAGCCCAAAGGAGTTTATCACGCTACATTACATAGGTCACTGTTGCAATAAAATGAACCAAGGCCATTGTTACGCAACTGTGTTCCATCAACGGTCATCGCTATTCTTGCACTGATGTTCCAACAATGATGGTATTGAAGAACAGGGGCGTCGAGGCCATGTGGACAAGGTAGGGGAGAATTTAAACTGTGGGGCAAAGCCCCTGGAGCAACAATTGCTGGGAGCCAGGACCCAACAAAGCAGTTTGGTTAATAATCCTGGTTTGGAGTAGGCATTGGGGGCATTATCTGAATATCCGAAGAGGGCTTAGTCCCCGAGAATGGCAAAGACCCGTGGTTAACAAACCCCTTCGCGTTGGTTGAGGTATGGATGATCTAGTCTGAGATTATAGAGACCCAGGGATGTCTAAAACAGCAAAGGCACCAAAGCGAGAAAGACTGAGGGGGCAAATGCCTGCGGGGACCAGCAAAAGTCCGACCCTCCGTGGTCGAAGACCTCCGAGAGCAGAAAATGGATTTACAGAACCTTGATGAGTTAGACAAAGGGTAGAAAGCCCTGGAGGCAAATCTCCAGGAACAGAGAGCGCAGGGGGCCGGGCCCCAATGAAGCAAGAATCCTGAGAAATAACCTCGATGGTAAAGTCCCAGAAGTTTAATAAAAAATCCCGGTTGGGACTAGGCGTGGTGGAATTTTCAGGTGGTGTGTTCCCGGAAGTGATCCCTCACCACGGGCGGCAAAGCCCTTCGGGAACAGTTCCAGTCCTCCTGAAGCCTGGATGATGCAACCTGAGAGAATAGAAGCGCGTTTGTTTCCAACTCGGGGAAATCAAGTCCAATTAATAAGAGTTTAACATTTCAACAGGAACAACAGGTTTCTGCTGTTGTGCAATAATCATCTCGGTCTCACATATTGCCTACCTCCTAGGAAAAACCGCGGCAGACAATGGACGGGCCCACGCTAGAGACTCTCTCTCCCATTTTCCTCTTAGACTGGAAAAATAATTCCCAATATCCTTGACCAAGACACTATTATTAATTATTAAATTCCTTAATTATAAACATGTGGTGGTAGTTGAATAATTTCTTGCATTTAAAATTCATCTTCCAACTTACAGTTGTACTGCCATCTTAAATGAAAGGTTTAGGAATGCAGAATTCGCCGAACGCGGGATTCCTTTCTTCTACAGCTTTCCCTCTTCAATGTCCAAAAAATGTTTATAATATTCGTGTTTAACGATGATTTATCAGGGCTGCCTTCAGAAGGATCATACGCCATAATTGAGTTCACAGTTTTTCAGGTTTCAATGCTCGGATTTTCTTGGCCTCGCAACAACTATTGAGGGAAACTATTATCTTGTAAAGATTTATTTTAATTCATTCTGAACGCAGTTTTAAAATGACTTGACATTACATTTATCAGTGCAAACAAATAGTGATATAAGCACCTTAAATGCAAACTACGTTTTCATCAAGATAAATCAATTTCAAAATAATTTATAAGTTACAAAGTATGGCAAACGTATCTACTACCAAATTTTGCATGTGATCACAATGAAGACGTCACGACCGTCAGTTGAAATCCAATGTAGAAGAATCCAATTCATAACTCTGAAAATTCAATTCGTGGTAACAAATTCCATAGCTACGTCATATTACTTGGATTAGAAGCACGACATATAGTCGACATTTTACATAGCTGAACTGGCACCTGGACCAAAAGCGAGTCTGGAGTCACAGTGACGTGTCTAGGCGGGGTAAACGGAACTGTGACGTCACTCAAGGCTGGTCTCCTTCGCCATACATAGTGAGATCATACGCCTCTTTGTGGGCGACTGGACGATGGCAACCTGGTGATCGCGAGAGACGCACAAGTAAAACAGCTGCACCACGATCAGCCGCAGGAAAACTCTGAAGGAGAAGCGTGACTTAAAATTCAAATAGAGGGGCTTAAATTTAAAAATGTTCAACAAGTCCTTCTTGAGAAGCTAACAGCCGCTCAGATAGTTAAGAAATTCCCCATCTTTAATGGAATCCAAAGTTTCCAAGCGTGGGTACAAGACAGCCGAAGATCTATATCTTTAATCAACACATTCTAACGCTATTTAAGATTTATTTAAACCATCCCACACGCTTCGGTATTCGAAAGTCGTCTATTCCCTTCATATTTTCAAAATAAATTTGTATGCATTTATCATGTCTGTACTATCTTATCATCCTTGATGAGATGATTGAGACACGTAACATGCATCTGATCATCCAAAGAACATTTGGCACAAATTATGAAGTTCCTCATTACGCAATTTTCTAAAACTAATTGTTCCTCCTCCTTCTAAAGTAAAAAAATAACCCTCTTCGGTGAAAATATCCCTCTCAGCACCCAGCGATCGAGTACCCTGATTTCATGTTCTTTCCTTAATACAGGAAACCAAATTTGACAACCGCGCAAACAAGAGATAAAATTGTAGTTAAACGTATTTTAATTTTGATGCTTTTATACAGTAACTAGGAATTCTATTCAATTTAAGTTGGGTTTTTTATTTTGTTACGTTTACAAACTGTGGAGGGTGAGACATGTAAGGATGACTGACGTGAAGTCAAAGTTGTCGGTGGCTGTTTTAATACTCTAGCCCGGGGACCTGCTTGGACTGAGCAAATACACGGAAGTTATTTTGACAACCGGTCTCTGTCCGAGATGCAAAACGAGTAACCCCCCTCCCCACCAAGGTATTGAGGACTTCTCTCCACACCACCAGTTTCCATTACAGCCCATCCATGCAACCCAATGGATAGGGACGAGATAATTTTCATGTGAGGTTAAGGTTAGCGTGTGAAACTGCTCGTCTAATGCTGGCTGGTCAGAATCCCTAACGTGGAGCTTAGATACCGGAACATATATTTATTTTCGGATTTAAACCTATGATAATTTTGGTGATATCTTGACACGGGTGTAAAGTATGCTTCCTTATTATTAAAATGACAAAAATTGATGAACTTTGAAAAAAGGCTTTCATCTCAGCCTAATGTTTAGCAAAGGGAAGGACGGGTTTCTAATGAGTGTTAAAGCGGCCGCGGTTCGTCCAGACCACAATTTCGAACGAGTCCCTGGCCTCGCTAACAGCGTCTTTCAGGAAAGTTAACACCCGTTGTTGGCGAGGGATTAAATTACTGGGAAATGCGACCCGGAGCCTTTATTCCCCTTTTCCCTCCCACACTACGTGTATAAGCAAATAACTTAAAAAGAACCTGCCACAATAAGTTTTGGAGCACAACAATTCATGGTATCCATCAGTCTTTAAAATCGTAGCAATGACAAATATTAGTTCCTACTAGTCCACAAGAATACAGATTTAAAAAAAAGTAAATTACAAAATATCTCAAGAAAACCGATGTACCAGCCATATGAGATCGTCTCACTCATCATTGAAGTGAAATGAACAACACTCACCAGTATATACATCATGGCCAGTTTCGTCTCCATATCTGGAAAGAGAAAGTGAATGTCAGTATATGTGGGCCAAGACACAAACAGCTGGCACTTAAGTGACAACATTTACATAAACACAGATACATGCGACTCACTTCTAGCCTCTTGGAGGGCCTCCGCACCCCTTTCATAGGGTTCAAAATACTCTAATGCAACTAGGAAACACTGAACACCACACAGATACAAGAAACACCTCCTCACTCCACAGACGCCATCTTTGTAATCAGCCTCGCGGAGAAAACGAGAGCTGTAAATAGCCGTTCCCGCCGTCTGCGCCACCTGGGATTCTGGACAAGAATTAACGCTTCGACATGTAAAGCCACAGCTATGGAATTTTGAATAATTTGCATAATGGATATAATGTTTTTTCCGAGCTATGGAGGAAATTCTTGTATATTGCACGGCAAAGTTGAACGCGATCACAATGTTCGTGCTTTGACCCTGCATCGGGGTCTCCTGCTTATAAACTGAAATGTTCATTTTTCAAAGGATTGCGCCAGCTGTAATCGTGACTTCGTATTCAAATGCTGAAATAAATTGAAAGACCCGCTATTTAGAATATGCACCACGACAGAGAAAAGCTTATCGTCCTTAATTTCCATGCAACATATTTTACCGATTTTTTTTAATGTGTGTGATACGCTGTTTCGAAATTTTAGTAAAAACTTCATAGCCTACTTCTCCGTACATTACTTTCTACGTCTAATTGACCTTTAAACACATCCGAGTCACTAATGAATAATGGGAGATGTTGAAGTCTGCCATTTTAGTTAAACCCTTTAAAGATTAGTTTTATCTATGTGTATCACCTGCTTTATTAATATTAATAATAACAACAATAATGGAACAGTCTCCAAGTCACTTAGAAAATATTTGGCCAACATTCCGGGCGAACACAACTTCAGGGAATTGCAGAAAACTGCCATTTTAGGATCTTTATACATCATTCGAAAGACGCTGTCGTAAAATATGTAGTCATCTCTAACACTAAAACTATATAATACATGTAACATGTATTAAAAACAAAATGTATTTCGGAAATAGCTGCTGCACTATGTACCTTAGGGGCAAGGTTTGTCTCCGGTACATGGAAGTACATACCCTATAAAGTAGTGAATAGATGGAATAATAATAATAATAACCATAATCATAATTTTGTGTGATTCTCACAGTAAACATACCGTACATTAATGTGTGACCATGACTGTACTGCAAGTTCTGTTAATATCAATCTTACCTCGCTCGTCAGCCATGTTGATTACCAACTGAAGGAAATATAGAACAGTTCCAACAGAATTGCTAAGCAACAAATATTTACCACATTACACACAGGAAGCCGTTGTATTAAGACGTTCACGCTACTGCAAACTTCTGAAGATCACATGCAACATGTATGTTAACGGAACAGGCACTGCTATGAAGAATTTTATCAAGTTAGGAGAGTAGTTGCTATTATGAAAGCTCCTGTTAGGTCATGTCTGTGTGTACGTAACATGCATTTTTTGTAAACAGATTAATCTATTTTCAAAAAAAAGTGTCTTGCTCTAGGAACCCCAAAGTCGCAATTTTCAGCGTATTAAAATTACGATTACCGTTTAAACTTGAAAATGACATAGCCAGGAATAGAATGTACTAGAAAATATTTTGGACCCAAGTTGCAGATGTTACTGAGTTACAGCATTTCTAGTAGTAAGGAAACGGAAAATTGAATATATATAGTAATAGTGAGCATGTGTTTCATTCCTATTAACACCTGGAACAGTTTGCGGAAGATAATTCAAAAGCTATGCCGCTGAAGGTCACCAAAAATATTTTAAAATTCCCTACGTTAATAATGCTAAGAATTTGCTAGCAGAAAGAAACTTCTGAGGCAGGAGGAATGCTAGACCCAATCATTTTTATAAACATATTTAAAAAATAAAGCTTTTGTATCATTTTTGTAAACTCGTTAAGAAAACCCAGCAATATGGCGATCACGTAAAATTTGTATGCCGTGTCATATCTCATTAAACATGAAAAGTATTTAAAATTTAGTACAGCAACAGACACAAACATCTGTAAATGCTGTTTAAAGATTTCTGTTAACTACGCGCACATGTGTGACGACATGGCGAGAGCACAACCTGTTTTGATTTTAAGCGACAACTTAGAGGTATCATTTGTATAAAGATGGATTCTACATCATAACATGTTAGGTAGCAGATTAGTTCTCGCTAACGACGACGAAATGATACGAGTACTCGTATCTTAATAAAGTGCAAGTGTAAGGTTTTATGAGTGCAATTATTTTACGTAACTTTTGTGAGCGTTTCCAAATTCAACATTTGGCGAACTTCCAAAGTTGATGTTATCTTCGAGCTGTGATGCGTAATTTTGCAGGCGGTTAACAACATTTCGGAGTAAAGTGCCACATTAAGAATGTAAATTCACTCAAAACGTTCATTTGCAACTCTAATAACCACCTTCGGGGTTTCATAAAAGGCGGGATATTTGACTAGCTCTGAGAACATTATTAGCTTTTCAATAAGGGATGTGCTCCAGGCTATTAATGAAAGCAGACCCAACAAAATTATACAAAACCCAGTTACAAATTTCCAGTTGCCATTTATTGATAGCCGAAGTGCCCTACACTTCACTGTGTTATATTACCTATTTTTAAGTTGATATAATTGCGTCATATTGTGAATTACAATTTAATTATTCGTGTTTTTTCCGTCTAATCACAATTGTATATAAATAAAATTATACATAAGATATTAAAATATCATTTACATATTTGGTACAACTTTTTACTACATGTTTCGGTTACATTGAACCATCTTCAGGTGTAAAGTTAAAAGTTAAAAATTATAATCTTATAAACTAAAACTTAATTACTGTTGT